TCCTGGAAGTGTCCTGCTAATATAATAAAAACCTAAAATATGGCATAGGCCCAATAGTTGAGCAGTGAGAAAACTGATGTCAGAAGTGGAAAGATGTTTATCTATGTTTTGTACTAGCCAAACATTTGGTTTGGGCCAGGCGTGGTGGCTCATGCCTGTAATTCCAGCACTTTGGGTGGCCAAGGTAGGTGGATTGCTTGAGCCCAGGAGTTCAAGACCAGCCTAGGCAACATGATGAAACCCTGTCTCTATAAAAAATAAAAAATTAGCCAGATGTGGTCATGCACACCTATAGTCCCAGTTACTCAAGAGTCTGAGGCGGGAGGATTTCTTGAGCCCAGGAGTTCAAGGCTACAGTGAGCTGTGATTTTGTCACTATACTCCAGCCTAGGTAACAGAGCAAGACCGTCTCAAACAAAACAAAACAAAACATTTGGTTTGATTTTCTCCTCTACACATGCTTACTTTGTTGACAGCTGCAGAAGATAATTAGAAAACAGAATATTAGTAATATTTGCTGTTTTATTGGCTATATTTGGAAGCCATTGTAAGAAAAAGATAAACTCAGAGAAAATTAGTGGATTATAAGCAAAAATGAAAGAAAATAGAGTCCTGAAATTTGAGGCCTCATGAAGTTTTAAAAATTTGATTTCTAGACTTCAAATGGTAGGAGAATAATTTAAATGGCTTTGAGTGTATTAAAGACCTAATAAACATTTTCTAGTGAAATAAAGTGACTCAGAAGAAAGATTATATTAAGAAGCTGAAACCTTCTCATTCAAGCTTGATAACCTCACAGTAGTCTGTTATTCACCTATCCTAGCTCCATGATAGAGAAGCTCAATTTTAGGCAGCTACAGCCAAGAAGACTGGGGTTCCCATGCCCAACCTACCTCCCACTTGTAGAGCAGAGGCTCTTGCCAAGGTAAGAGAGGCTAAGAATATTGGGACCTCAATTGCTCTTCTCCTCAGCTTTTCTCTATAGAGTAGATGTTTCATGCCAAGAAAGGAAAGCCAAAAAAAAAGATCATTCTCCCAGCTCCCACTAATAGGACAGAGGTTCCAGGCTGGCAGGAGTACATTAAAAAGACCTCAGGCCTTCATCTTCCTACCAAGATCTCACTTGTAGGAAGGAGTATCCCTGCTAAGAAGCTTCCCCAGATCCCACTGGTAGGGCAGAAATGTCACTTCAGGAAAATCAGGCTTTCCTCCTTTGTCCTCAGCCTCTGTGCAACAGTGTGGATGTTATACCCAGGGAAAAAAGCAAGATGGGAGGGCCAGAAGCTCCTCAACTCAGCTAGGGGGCTGACTGTATTTGATGCATAACATGAAGGGATGTATGAATTAAGGCATTGTTGAAAATAGAGATCTCAGTGGCAAGCACTTAAGAGAATTCTAATAGTTTCATAAAACAAAGTAGCAACAAATGAAACAGCAAGTCACCCAGTTTAACAGAGTGAACAAGAGAAAGAGCTAAAAAGTGCTAAGATTATAATCATCTCTATCTGGAAGGCTGTGTCTATGTCTGTTTCACACATTCAGTACCAACCATAACAGGTACTATGTGAACTTGAGAGGAATTGAATTTCCCAAGCCACACACTGACATATTAGCAAAGGGTGGAAGTCTTACTAGCTCAAGGAGTGTAAGCACAACCTCTGACCAAACACTGGCTAAATGTTAAGATATTTTGACCCAACAGTGACTTCTGGGAAGCGAGGCTTGGGGTAAAGGCTACACACTGTGTGTGTGTGGCGGGCGGTGGGGAGGAATAGAGTTTACAAAGTTGGTGCAGGTAAGCCACTAAACTAACAAAACAGAGCCACATCAATAATCCCTAAAGGGGATGTGTCAGAACCCAGAGTTGCTATATTATTTCAAAAACTATGAGCACTTAAACTATAATTGATGAATTGCTAGAGACTAGCAATAAAGGTGCCAGCATTCTAGTTGATGAAAATGTTGTGACCAGAGGCTTACATGAACCTAACCCTGTATTCTTCTTGGAGCAGTTATTCAGTATTTACTAACACAGTGTTTGTGGTGGATTTATATAACATAAGTACTGTGAATAATGGAATCAACTGTATATGAAATCTTAGCTATCCATTTACATGTGGGAGAATCAACAAATGGTGTTCTCCACAAATGGAATCAACCCCCAGAAGTTCCTGAGAAGTCCCTGTTGAGTGGGAAAAGACCTAGAGCCAAGGAGACAAGGTTGGAGGTGACTGGTCCTCTCCCTTTGTTCTTCCATTGAAATTACTTGAGAAGCATCATGATACCTCCTTATACACAGGGTATGGTGGAAAAATAATTGGCAGCGTTGAAAAGACAAGTGTATGAAGCATTAAGCATGACACACATGGAGAAGGTGATGGTGTAAAGAATGATAATGGCGTCTGAATAACATTCTGAAGAAGGAGGGAAGTTCAAAAGGTGGGATGATGTGCCTGGATGAGAGACATAAGGCAGAAAGATTTTCTACGGTGCTTCTGTTAGTTTAGCAGGTAGAATGCACCTGTGAGGGGTGCAGGAAGCATGTGGCAGAGTGGGTACATAAGTGTGGGTGTAGGGAGTCTTTAGAAAAAATTGAAACGCAGGGTCTTACCCTCTGTTCACCTCAGAGAACAGTAAAATCCCTTGGATCAGGCAAACCCTGATGAAAAACCCAGACCACCATCTCTTTCTCTCCCAGATGGCCAGTTTTCCTTCTGGTGCTGGCGAATGATGAAGTTGTCTTCAGGAGGGCAGAATTCTGCTGGGTGCTCTCCTCTTCTGAGGAGTTATACCACCACACAGCTTTTGCTCCCAGAAAGAGTCACCATCTTGTGTTCTAACATGGATCCCTTGTAAGGCCATACAAACCACTCCATCCATACTTACAGCTTTCTCCACAAAGGCAGCTGAGTCTAGGAGCCAATGAACTATCTCACCTTATATTTTAAAACTTACCCAGGGCACTGTTTCATGTTCTTTCTTCTCACTGGAACTTACCAGCCTTATGGAACACAAGGATGTGTTTGTGGTTGTCTTCTCTTTACAAGATAGGTCACATAGACCCACAAGTAGGCTGTGTATACTTTTCTTAAAAAGGAGGTGTCACTTACCTTGGGAATATCAGCCAGCCATATATGAAATCCCAGACACAGGAGACCCCTAAGAAAAAGGCGAAGCTGTCTGTAACTGCCTTAGCAACTGAGCCACCAGTGGATTAGACTCTTAAAGTTATAGCACCATGGAAACACAGAATTTTGGATTTGGGTAACACTAGAGAGCTCACATAATTCAACACCTTAACAGAAAATTCTCATTTACTAATTAGAAGTTTTTAACCAGGTAGCGTAACTATGTATATACTATTCTCAAGGAGAGAGAATGGGAATATCTTCTTCAGTTACTTAACGAAAACATACAAGGAATCTGAAACCCTAACATACCAGAATCTATGGGACAAAAGGAAAATTATTTGATCATGAGACTCAGAAGCATTTACTGGATCAGGGGGTTTAGAGATGCTGAAAGTAGAGAATCAAAGTGTTAGGTTTTGGAGGGAAGGCAAGGGTTAAAGAAAGACAGAGAAACACAGCGACTTAACAGCGAACACAGGTATATTGCAGACACCTGTGGAACCGGGAGACCCGCCCAATGCCAGAGCCCACCACCACTTACAAGCAGGGGTACTTACAGGTATGGCTGGGAGAAGTCTGAATAGTATGGCTTGCTGCCCAGCAGGATATCGATAAGATGTGCCCATGATAAGGCGGTTTGGCCCTTTTACTTTGGATGTGATGTCATCGTGGTGTTCCTTGGGTCTTTGCCCAGTAAGATATGATAGGGAGGTTTCTTTAGTTGGGCCTTGGCCTAGTAAGGTATAATAAGAATTTTTTTTACTGGGCCTTTGTCTTCCTTGTGGTCAGGTGGCCAGATAGGATGTGTCTCATGGCCCAAACCCCTGTGGAATGTTTCACTTTGACCAAGGTCTGCAAAATAGCAGGGGACTTACAAAATGGTGCAGTTTGCACTAACGCAAAGGTGAATGGGATGGGGAACGGTAGGTCAAGAAAGCTGCTTCCTTTATTTATCCCTTCTCTTGAAATGTCTTCATTATTAAGACTTTCATTCTTCTGGCTTTGGAGTTAAAATATAAAATATAAATTTTAACACGGAAGTATGAATGCTGGTATTTCTGAAATCAAATTCTTATAATCCCCAGGCTAGTGACAGCTTGACTGGGCAACCAAGTAACTTAAGTTCATAAGTAAACACTGACTCTGCTGAAACTGAATAACTCATTTTAACTTCTGAACACTTTAAGCATTTCTCATTCTGGATAAGAAAGAGAAATGCTGAAGCAGAATTTATTCCATCTGCTTTAGATGAATTTAGGAATTCCTTGCAAGGCATAAAATTAATTTTGTGATCCTTTGACTAATATGGATTTCTGAAGAAATTCTAGATTCAGAGACGGGCTGGGCCAGATTTTGGTTAAGGCAATGACACAGAAAGATTTTTCAAAGAAGAGGTAAAAAAAACGTAGTGGAGTTTTTTTTCATAATCAGGAGTTTGAGAGGGTATAATGGAAGTTGTTAGGTTTTGACGGGAAGGCAAGGGTTAAAGAAAGACAGGGAGAGAGAGTTGGCAGCTCTACAGCAAACACAAATTTTATGTCTAGCACAAGACCTGCGGAGGCTGGGGACCAGCTTAATGCCAGAACCCACTGCCGCTTACAGGCTGGGGTACCTATAGGTGTGGGTGGGAGGGGTCTGGGCAGTATGGCTTGCTGCCTGGCAGGATGTTGATAAAATGTTCCCATGATGAGACGGTTTGGTCTTTGTTCTGGCAGAATGTGATAGTGATGTTCCTTGGACTTTTTCCCAGCAGAATATGGTAAGAAATTCGGGTGGTTGGGCAAAATGTTTCTCATGGCCCAAACCCCCATGCAATGTTTCACTTTGACCAATGTCTGCGAAATGATGGGGGGCTTACAAAGTGGTACAGTTTGGATTAACATTCTTGCCTTCTACTTTCGTCTAAAAGGAAGAGGGGCATTGTTGATTCCCCTGCTGAATAGGGGCACTGTAATCAGGGCTTGGGTTTTGAAGCAGTGGGTGTCCAACTTCAGAGCTGTTTTCCTGGAGGTGCTGATACCGGACTTGGTGGAGGAGAAGGATGGTATCACTGTGTTTCTGGGTGGCTGCCTGGACAAGGGAGTTCTGCCTTTGGGAGATAAAGCGGGATATGAAGGGAAGTATACATGGGCCAATTGTTAGTATTAGGAGGAAGATTAGGGGCCCTAAGAAAAGGGCAACAGGATTTCCCCATGCCACTTGGTGTGTATGGAGGAGGAAATAGGGATTACTAAAGGAACCTGAATGGTTTGATTGTTAGGCAAAATGTTAACGTTCGGAGATTGAAACACCAGGGTGCATGTTCCTGACCAACTTGCAGGTAGGCAAAGAAGAGAGTTTGTTCCACACAGAAAGAAAAGTCCAGGGGTTGACAGGCAAAGTTGTAGGTAAAGGTAGTGAGCTGTGAGAAGGTGGGGGTTGAATCCTGAACCAACTTTTGTCCCAACTTTTTTGTTTTTCCAGGTTGAATAAGGGTAGTCTTTGTTAGGGCCTGGTAAGGATGTTGGTGGTGAAGGCTGTTTGGTTTTGGAGAGAGAAAGAGAAATGGGTTTTTGTTAACTAACAGCCATTGTGGTCCTGGTAGGGAAGAAGGATAAAGGTTGCAGTTGAGGGAATTGTCTGTGTGTTATTATAGGGAGTTCCCTTAAGTTGGATACATGCAGAGCAGTGCCGGCAGAGAGGGGAGGGGTTGGGAAAGGATGTTTTACGGAATTCGGTTTGAAACATGTTTAGTTTACAGGCTATGAGGTGAAGGAGGGCGCCAGCCCTGCATGTGATGGTGCAGGTGGATTTGATGGATTGCAGGGAAAGGTGTTTCACCAAGCAAGATTATAAACAGGTTTTGGGAAGGGACTGGTTGAGTAGGTAAGATGCAGGTTTACTTTGGATCAAGTTTCTGTGGTTAGGTTAACAGGAAGGGCTGTGAACTGCTGGATTTGTGTGGACAAACAAATTTAACAATTGGAAGCAAGAGGAGAGTGTGACTGATTTAAGAGGTAATGTGTGAGGTTAACAAAGGAAGCCCAACTGCCAGTGGTTGTGGGACTTAGAGTATTCCACAGCAAAGAAGACAAAAGGGGAAAAAGGAGATTTGAGTAAGAGTGAAATTTTGGAAGGTGCCCTGCAGCCATAGCTCCTGGGTTAATGTGAGGAATTGGACTGGACTATCCAGGGACGTGGGGAGGAAATACCAGGAAAGATCTGAAACAAGGTATGAGATGAGATTTGAAATTGGAGGCAGAGAGTGTAATGGACCAGGGCCTTCTGGATTGGCAACTTCTGGAATTCCTGTTCAGCACAGTGAGGTTGGTCCTATGAGGGAGGAAGAATATTTTGGGGGTGAGAAAATTTCTGGATGTCAGTCTGGTGGTGTTTTTAGTTTGGAATGGTGGATTTAGTGTGGAAAGGATGTTAGTTTTGTTGCCACAGGAGTAGTTAGGATAACCTGGTGAGGACCCGTCCACTTAGGTTGGAGAGGGGAGAAGGAACTGGTGATTTAGACCCAGTTCAGTCATTGTAGAGGCAGGGAGGAGTGTTAGGAGGATGGACTTTTAGGCTGGGGCAAGTAAGTGTTTGCATACTGTCTTATTAGATGTTGAGTGAGGTATAATGCCAGCCAAGTATCCTGCATAGAAGCGGCGGAGGGGCAGGGTGGGGGCAGATACAGGGAGATTCTGGAGGATAAAGGGGCATTGGTACATGAATTCAAATGGGCTTAGGCTGAGGGGCTTGTGAGCAACAGCTTGTAAATGCATGAGTGCCATTGGAAGACGTGAAGTTCAGGCCATTTTAACCTCTAGGAAGTTTGGTTAGTTGTTGTTTTAAAAAGGCATTGACCCATTTAATTTTACCTGAAGACTAGGGGCAGTAAGGAACATGAAAGACCCATTTAATGTTTAGAGCCTCCATCAGCTGTTGGTTAACCTGTGAAACAAATGCTGGCCCATTGTCTAACTGGATGGAGGAGGGGAGTCCAAACCGGGGGATAATATGGGTGAGGAGAATAGAAGTGACGGTGTGTGCCTTTTCGGTGGTGGTAGGAAAATCTTCTATCCATCCAGAGAATGTATCTACAATTGTCAGAAGGTACCAGGCCCATTTTATGGGGAGCATGAGGGAGAAGTTGATCTGCCAGTCCTGCCTTGGCAGGTGTCCTTGGGCTAGTGTGTGGGGAAAGGAGGTGGTTTGATAGCTCCCTGAGGGGAAGTTGTTTGAGTACAAATGGAATATGCCTTAGTAATACCTATGAGACTGGCAGCCATGGTGGGAAAATATATATAAGCTTTTAAGAGCTAGAGTAGGGGGCAGTAACCGGCATGGAAATGGTTGTGCATGTATGAAAGTACAGAAAGTTCCTGGGACTTGGGCAAGACAATTTTATTGTTGAGGTAGAACCATCCTCCTCCCCAAATAGCACCAGCCCGGGTGAGTGAGGTTTGTTCCTCCTGGGTATACACAGGGTGTATGCTGGGAAAGATGGGCAATAGTGGTGAAGTTTTAAGAGCTGCCTGCTGGGCTGCTGAGTTTGCTGAGAGCTTGTCCTTGGTTATGGCATCTGTAGCCTTTTGATGTCCCTTACAATGGATAAAGGTGGCCTTTAGTGGTAGTTTAGCTGCCTTCAGCAGTTTGTGTATGAGTTTGCCATTTACTATGGGAGTTCCTTTTGTAGTTAGAAAACCCCTTTCCTGCCAGATTAAGGCAAGAGAGTGTAGGATGTGGTATGCATGTTTGGAATCGGTGGAAATGTTAACCCTCTTTCCCTTTTTTAGGGTGAGGGCCCTGGTTAAGACAACTAGCTCCACCTGTTGAGAGGTAGTATGGAGTGGGAGAGTGCTGGATTCTAGGAGTGTATTTTCAGCAATGATAGCAGAGCCAGCTGCTGGACATGGCTCCCTAAAAGAGCTAAAAAGATCTTCCATTAATGAATCATGTGGCTGTTCCCTGCAAAGGGGCTTTTGGAATGTGTTGGAAGGGGGAGAAGAGGGAGTTTAAGAGGTCCAGGCAGGAGTGAGAGAGCTTAGAGTCAGAGATGTTTAAAGGGAAGAGGGTGGCTGGGTTGAGAGCTTTACATTTTTAGAAGGTGATTAGAGGGTTACCTATGAATAAGGCATGTACCTATGAATAAGGCATCCTGTAAGCAGGATGGTGGGAGGGATAGAAGAGATCAATGGCTCATGAGATCCTATAGGTTATGGGAAGATGCAGTAGTAATGTGTTGGTAGAGAGTGAGTTTCTGTGCCTCTGAGGCCAGCAATGTGGCTGCACCCAAGATTTTTGGGCAGGGTGGCCAGCCGTGGATGACAGTCCACTTGTTTTGAGAGGTATGCAATGGCTTATGGAGCACTGCCATATGTTTGGCAGAGTAGTCCAAGAGCAAGGCTTGGTCAGAATGTAGATACAGTGAAGGGGGCCAGCCCCTCCACACCTGTGAGTATTTCTTGTCAGGTGGGACAAGAGACTGAGAAAAGCAATAAGACATAGAGACAAAATATAAAGAAAGAAAAGTGGGCCCAGGGGACGAGCACTCAGCATACGGAGGACCTGCACCGGCCCGGTCTCTGAGTTCCCTCAGTATTTATTAATTACTGTTTTCACTATCTCAGCAAGAGGAATGCGGCAGGAGAGCAGGGTGATAGTGGGGAGAAGGTCAGCAAGAAAACATGTGAGCAAAGGAATCTGTGTCACAAATAAGTTCAAGGGAAGGTACTATGCCTGGATGTGCACATAGGCCAGATTTATGCTTTTCTCCACCCAAACATCTCAGTGGAGTAAAGAGTAACACAGCAGCATTGCTGCCAACATGTCTCGCCTCCCGCCACAGGGCGGCTTTTCTCCTATCTCAGAATGGAACAAATGTACAATCGGGTTTTATCCCTAGACATTCAGTTCCCAGGGGCAGGCAGGAGACAGTGGCCTTCCTCTATCTCAACTGCAAGAGGCCATCCTCTTTTACTAATCCTCCTCAGCACAGACCCTTCACGGGTGTCGGGCTGGGGGACGGTCAGGTCTTTCCCATCCCACAAGGCCATATTTCAGACTATCACATGGGGAGAAACCTTAGACAATACCCGGCTTTCCAGGGCAGAGGTCCCTGTGGCTTTCCACAGTGCATTGTGCCCCTGGTTTATCGAGACTGGAGAATGGCGATGACTTTTACCAAGCATGCTGTCTGTAAACATTTTGTTAACAAGGCACATTTTGCAGAGCCCTAGTTCCCTTAAACCTTGATTCCATACAACACATGTTTTTGTGAGCTCAAGGTTGGGGCAAAGTTACAGATTAATAGCATCTCAGGGCAAAGCAATTGTTCAGGGTACAGGTCAAAATGGAGTTTCTTATGTCTTCCCTTTCTACATAGACATAGTAACAGTCTGATCTCTCTTTTCCCTACAATATAGAGTGAAAGGCTTGGTGAAGTTGGGCAGGCCCAGTGCTGGGGCCATTAAAAAGGGCATTTTTTAGTTTTTTAAAATGGGAGTTGATGGGGCAAGCTGGGTTGAGGGGTTTTAGAATGAGCCCATGTGAGGCCATATAGAACAGCTTGGCCAGCAAGCCAAAACTGGGAATCCGCAGATGGAAGTATCCCTTGGAGCCCGAGAAGGAGAGGAGGTTCTTTTTGGTGTGGGGAAGAGGCATGTCCCAAATTAGCTCCTTTCATTGGGTTGGAATGGCCTGAGAATTAGGAGTTAGGACAAGCCCAAGGTAAGTGACCTGCATTTGGGCTAACCTGAGCCTTGGGTGTCCCACCCCAAGATAGGGGTAGGGCACTGATGGATAACCAGGAAAGAGTGGGTGAAGGGGGTGATGAATAGGTTGCATAATAGAGAACCAGTCTGTTTGTGCCTAGAGGGGATTCTATCGACTCCCACAATAGAGAGAGAAGAACTGAGGAGGGGCTCAGAATATTCTGGTAAAATTGAATAACTAGCCCCATATTTAATGGGAAAGACATGGGCTTAGCAGAGACTGACAGCGTTACTCTTGGTTCCAAGGTGGTGATGGTAGTGGGAGTGGTGGATTCTGGGCCCTATCAGTCTTCAGGTAGAGGTGGTGAAGTGGGATAAAGGGTTTTGCTGAGCACAGTCTGAGATGTGCTCCCTGTCCTCCAGGGTAAGGGAGGAGGAGAGGATGACATAAGTGTCATGCCAGGTAATTTATAAGATTGAGTGACATACAGAAATTTCTTGTGGAAGGAGGTGGGATCCATGGAAAAGAAGCCAAGTCTTTTTTCAAGCTGGAAGAGGTCAGCTAGGGAGAAGGAAACATAAACTCAGATTATACCTTCAGCCCCTGCAACTCCCCGCAAGGGGAGGACTTTGGAAGGCCTTTGGGCGTATGCCTGGTTTTCAGCGGAAGGGGGTTAAGTGTGAGACTGGGTAAGTGGTGGAGAAGAAAGAGGGAACAGAGGGCAACAATAAGGGAGTGAAGGAGCCGGAGCCGAAGGAGGAGGAGGGGATAGTGGTGGGAGAGGGACTGAAGGAGGGGTTTTGTTGGCCAGGTTGAAATTAGAAGAGGAAAGCTTGTCTGAAGGAAGGGGCATTTTTGGGCTTGGAGGTTCCAGATTAGACATCTAAGAGTGGTGTCTGGAGGAAGTTTTGAGGAGCCTTGCCCCATACTGGTGGCTGGAAGGGTGAGAAATATAGAGGAGGGATATGAGTACCCTGGAGGGGAGTTAAGTACCCTGATTTCTCTTGGGAGGAGGGACATAAGAAAGCCAGGGCATCCCTGCAGCTCTTCGTGGTCCCCTGGAGATCAGAGTGACTGGAGTGGCGAGCATTCTGAGGGCGTCCCCTGAGAAGGCAGACCATGGTTACCTAGTGACCAGGGAGACCTCTCACCCAGCACTGGAATTTTCTGGTGAACCAGTAGAAGCATGAGAGGAATCCGGAGAGGAGGAAAAGGGAGACTCACCCACTAATTGGAGACTGGTGTTGGATGTGATGTTCTGCAATGGGGGATCTTTGCCCAAGCCACCCAGAAAGGGGGAGAAAGAAAAAAGAGGATAGAGAGTTTGAGCAGGATCTGGAAGTCAGCCCAGGGCCAAAGAAGAGAGAATAATAGAAACAGGGCTGCGAACAGGGAGCCCTGCTTCAGGATCTGGAAGCAGGCCTCGGTCTCTAATTTTTGCTGCTTGCTGCTTTCCAGGTTGCAAGAGAAGACTTACCTGTTTAGAACCCAATCTATGTCCTGGGTTTCTGTGCCAAAATGTAGTGGAGTTTTTTTCATCATCAGGAATTTGAGAGGATACAGTGGAAGTTGTTAGGTTTTGAAGGGAAGGTGAGGGTTAAAGAAAGAGAGCTGGATGCTCTACAGCAAATGCAGGTTTTATGTCTAGCCCAAGACCTGTGGAGATGGGGGACCAGGTTAATGCCCGAGCCCACTGCCACTTACAGGCTGGTGTACTTACAGGTATGAGAGGGAGGGGTCTGGACAGTATGGCTTGCTGCCCAACAGGCTATTGATAAGATGTTCCCATGATTAGGTGACTTGGTCCTTGTTCCAGCAGAGTGTGACAGTGATGTTCCTTGGACTTTTTCCCAGCAGAATGTGATCAGAAAGTCAGGTGGTCAGGCCAATGTTTCTCACACAGAGAACCACTTCTGCGAGATTAATTTCTACACTCCTTCCACCACTTGTTTGAACCTTCAGCTTTACCCTATTAAATTCAAAACAATCTTTTAACCCTACGCAAAAATTTACATTTCCATGCCTTCTTATAACCTTTTAGTAAAACACACACACACACAGACATTTTTCCTAATACACCTTGCATGTAAAAATACTTTTAGTAGTATCAATTACATGTTATAATGATGACTCTTAGCAATCTTACTTATAATGTAAACCTGGTAAGTTATGTTAATTATGTACTAGGTGCTGATAAGGTCTTACTATTCCAGCATAGCTAGGGGTGTGGCCACCTCCACATGTCCCCAGGCCTTACCTAGCTGTAAAGCAGGCAAGTCAAACAATTTTCAAAAGCCAAAGCAGCAGTTTATGACCTTAAGGCATTTAGCAAACCTAGTATTTGAACATAATTTAGACCACATGTTTATATTTTGAAGACATTTGTGAAAACTTTACAGAGGAGATAAACAGTGACTTTTACGTCTCATTTAACAAGTTTGCACAGAGAGAAAGAGGCCAGAGTCTGACTGGTAGGAAGTTCTTACCCTTTTGCCAGTAGGCCAGGTTTCTGGGTTCTCTCTCCCTGAGCAGCCCTAGCGACCCTGCTCAACTGTATGCAAACAAACACACTACCATGAATTAAGAACATTTACAAATAGCTTACAAATTTTGGAGAAATTAGGCAGAGAGAGAAATATGACTTAAATTCTGTTTACAAAAGTATACTCAACATACTTAAAGTATCAAGAAGCCTAAACTTCAAAAAGTTAAAGTTTAAAAAGCTGGTGTGTTCCATTAATTCCTGTGGGTCCAACAAATGGAAGGCTAGGAATTCCAGATAAATGGAACAAATGATGACTTGCTAGAAATGCACAGGAAACTAAATAACTATCCACAAAACCAAATAAAAGCTTTCTAGAAGCAAAAACAAACAGGAAACCAACCCTAATTTTTTCTTACTCAATTTACCCTGGAGGCTAAAGTGTTGCCCAGGGCCCCAAAAGAGGCACATAATAAATATTTTATTCCTGATACACAATTCAATATCCTTAAGTTCACCAATATCATCATGATACATCCTGTGCAATCAAGAAGTTCATTTTAGGCACAAGACCAATAAGCACTCCAGTGCCAGCACTATCCACACAAAACAGTAAACATAGTGTGAAGCAATACAAGCATGTATGTGAAATTTGGTTCCACACTAAATCCAGCTTCAAGCTTTACTATATAAAAGAAAGAATTGCCAAACTGCCAATGCATTTCTTTACAATAATTATTATTTTACTTTAATCAAGACTAAGAGCTTTAACTATGAAAATGTTAACTAGCCAAATGTCTCCAGTTCTTTATCATGTTTTAAAGAATATTTTATTACCTAAACTTTTTCCACATCTTTCTCCCCTAATCACTGGTTCCTTACTACATTGGTTCATAAATAATTTTTTCAAATCTGTAATTTGAACTAACTTTTAGATAACTTATTAATTAGATAAATTATTCTTCTTCTCACTAATAACACAACCTTTTTGGCACATTTTGTATACAGAACTCTGTGTTAACTAGAAGTATTATTCTTAGTAACCTAAAATTTTAGTGAAACCCTAAAAAGAAATCCTGAACTATCAGATATGGGCATTTATAGATAAGAAAAATTCCACAATTTTTAGAAACATATTTCCTCATATCACAACCCTTTCTTAATTGGAAATGACCCAAATATTCAATGAGCATCAAAATTAATTTTAAGCTTTTAATTCACACAAAAAGTTTACCTAAAACATTCATCCCATTTACTGTACTCAATTATTTCATTTTTAACAGTTTATCTAGATTACTTCTGTAAACTGAGATATTAGACACTATCATTTAAAGTTAGTTATTTTCTTGCTAACCATGTTTTTAATAGCCAGTGAACATCAAGCGCTCACCTAAACCTAACTAAGAGTCTCAGAGTTAAATACGTAAGTATTTTGCCAATAACTCAGAAGACGTAGCTAACATTAAATTACTCTTATTTTTCAAAAAAAAGGCACACAAACCAAGATCATTTTGTTTTGGCTGGGTTTGTAGTTTTATAACCTTCTATGCCAAACACTGACATCCAAAATATCTAGCAAAGACAAACATAAAATTCAGACAAAATGTACAATGACAATTCTGAAGGCATTTCTATTTTTAGTCTACCAATAATTTTTAAAGCCAGCTTGTTTAGTATAAAGTTATACTTAAGTCACTTGAACTTGAAAATTGCTTAGACTTATTAATTTATGAGCACTCTGTGACTTATAAGCCAATTTGGCAAACATAACATACAACAATAAGTGTACATACAAATAAACACATCTAGACACGTATACACACACACAAATGAAGATCTAATAGCTTGAAACCCTGGCCATGAGATAGCAACACAAGCTTACCCGTTTTACTTTGTTTGCCCCAATAGGTAATCCAATGAAGGCTGTGAACCAAAATTTTGGGCAAAGCAATTTCCATGGCAGTTTGATTTTTTTTTCTTTTTTTCTTTTCCTTTTGAGACGGAGTCTTGCTCTGTAGCCCAGGCTGGAGTGCAGTGGTGCAATCTCGGCTCTTTGCAACCTCTGCCTCCCAGGTCCCGGTTCAAGCAATTCTCCTGCCTCAGCCACCCAAGAAGCTGGGATTACAGGTACACGCCACCACGCCCAGCTAATTTTTGTATTTTTAGCAGAGATGGGGTTTTACCATGTTGGCCAAGCTGGTCTTGAACTCCTGACCTCGTGATCCGCCTGCCTCAGCCTCCCAAAGTGCAGGGATTACAGACGTGAGCCACCTTGCCCAGATGGCAGTTTGATTGTTTTTGTTTTTGAGACAGAGTTTCGCTCTGTTGCCCAGGCTGGAGTGCAGTGGTGTGATCTCAGCTCACTGCAGTCTCCGCCTCCCAGGTTCAAGCGATTCTCCTGCCTCAGCCTTCTGAGTAGCTGGGACTATAGGCACGTGCCACCATGCCCGGCTAACTTTTTGTATTTTTAGTAGAGATGGGATTTCACCACGTTGGCCAGGATGGTCTCAATCTCCTGACCTAGTGATCCGCCCACCTCGGCCTCCCAAAGTGCTGGGATTATAGGCATGGGCCACCATGCCCGGCCCGGCCAGTTTGATTTATAAAGATCAAACCTCCCCAGACTCCAAAGAACACTGGGACCAAACAGTACCAAAGGAGAGCATCACTCTTTAACCAGGCCCTCTGCTTAGAATGGCAGCACCAAAGCCTGGATATATGCAATGCCATCCCAGTTTTCCATTCAACAGTAAACTCCACGTTCCAAACAATATTGGGGCCAAACAGCATTGCAACTGCGAGATAAAATTCTAAGGACGGTTTTGTACTAGACCTCAGAACCTTTGCCAAGGGCATCCTCTTTGGAGAGGTTGAGGTCTGGAGGATTCCCCTCTGGGGCTTCCCCTAGTGGGGTCCAATCTTAGAACGTCAGGTGTCTCCGACCTTAGGCGGGCACCGGTGACGTTTGCATGTTTTCCCTCCAGAGGCAATGGCCTACTATGAGCTTTCATTTTGTCCCTGGATGAAGGCTTTGACTTTTAGCTTCCTTATAATTTGATACGGCCACACTTTCCCATGCTTCCCATTCCATGAACTTAATAACTGGAGGCTGGATGTGTTTCTTTGGTCCTGAGCCAGTTGGGTAGGGAAATAGAAGAATTTAGCATCAGAAAAGAAGGTGTAAGTTGCCTGAAACACAGGCAAATTTGCTCTGAGCTGTGCCACACATAGGGATCAGGGACCACACCCAGAAAAGATTAAAAAAAGAGTCCTTGCCCCCTCTGGGCAAGGCAATTACCCCCATTCACTCCGTGGTCTTCAGCCAATACTGGGGTTTGACCCCAGCCAATTGCCCTCAACTTCCAACGAGCTACTAGGAAACAGCTGCTGAAAGACTAATAAAGAAGAAAAGGAAAAAAAAGGAAAAAGACCCAGGTCCTTTAGGCAAACCAGGTGGTGGCGGTTAGGCTTCTTCACTCGAAAACCCCTTAGTATTCATCAGCCACAGCCAGAAACCTGCAGTTACCTCCATGTTTACACACTGCCTACCACGGGTCCCGAGTTGGAAAGGAAAAGTGAGAGAGAGACAGATTTCCCTGTATGTAAAAGGGGAAAGGAGAAAAATAAATCCCAAACTCTGGGCCTACCTTCTCCTGGCTGGCTCACCAAAATATGTTACCGGTGGAGGGTGTCCAGGTTCTTGGCATTTTGAACAAAGAATTGGACAAAATGCACAAACAAAGTAAGGAAAGAATAAAGTAACAAAAGCAGAGATTTATTGAGTACACTCCACAGTGGGAGCAGGCCCAAGCAGCCACTCAAGGGCCGGGATACAGGATCTTCTTGGGTCCAAATACCAGCTAGAGGTTTCCCATTGGCCACTTGGTGTTCACCCCACGTAAATAAAGTGGTAGCCCCCAATCAGTCTGATTGTTTGCAGACGGCAACCAATCAGAGGCTGAAGTGAAGTTACAAAGTTACACTCTTATGCAAACGTCTGGTTGCCAAAAGCAACCAATCAGAGGTACTTTCAATTAACCAACTGCCACGCAGAAAAGGTGGGAGTTTGCAAAGGGAGTAGCCTCTGGTCCTTTTTTTACTTAGGCATGGAAAGTTAGGGTTTTCCTTTCCATTTAGCTCTACGAAGTCAGCGTGAAATGGCCCTAGGTTTCCTGCCTCCAGACCCTATTCTCCTGCCTCACTGTTATCCAAGGGACTCTGCTATTAGGCTAGCTGTGGAGGGATGGAGAGAGAGCTGAGGCCTCAAACGCCAGTATTCCTTCCTTCCAGATTTACATTTAAGACCAGATAAGCTTCCAGACCAAACAGTATCTGTTGATGAATATCAGGCTCGAATGAGGAGGGAGAAGTGGAGCCCTGGATTGAAAAAACCTTCCTAGATCAACAAGGAAATAGCCTCTTCTAGAATCCAGACAGGGCCCTGGACTCCTGTGGGATAATGTAGTGTGTGAGAAAATTGGTAATGAAGTCCTTGGATATGGGGACGCACTTGGAAGTCTTGGGAACAAGGAAAAGAGACATCCTGTGGTGGTGACTTTAGATCCAACACCCAGGGGCTTGGGTGTCTTTTGGGGGGATTAGTAGGAGAGATTGATACATTGAGGGAGGTTCAGGGTAACTGTCTGAAAATAAGAGATTTTTTATTGCTTATACTGATGTCCCAATAGGGTCTGTATGTGGTTCAAATAGGTAGAAAAGAATGAAGTCCGAGGCTGAAGATAACAATATCAGTCAGAATTTGAGGATTGTGAATACCTGTCCACAGAAATAGCTGGGCCCTGAGCCTCTACTGATGATGTAGGAATGGAGGCAGTTAATAGGCTTTAAGGTCATAGGGTCTCAGGGTTGGGGTATGGTGAGGACACTTTGCCATCCCTAAAGTTCAAAGCCTCTTAGACTGGAGGAGGTTGTTAACAGATATCCTAGGCAGAAAAGCTGTGTCAGGTTGTGGTGTAAGAAGAGGGAGAATTTGGGCCCGGCGCAGTGGCTCAAGCCTGTAATCCCAGCACTTTGGGAGGCCGAGACGGGTGGATCACGAGGTCAGGAGATCGAGACCATCCTGGCGAACACGGTGAAACCCCATCTCTACTAAAAAATACAAAAAACTAGCCGGGCGAGATGGCGGGCGCCTGTAATCCCAGTTACTTGGGAGGCTGAGGCAGGAGAATGGCATAAACCCCGGAGGCGGAGCTTGCAGTGAGCTGAGATCCGGCCACTGCACTCCAGCCCGAGCGACAGAGCGAGACTCCGTCTCAAAAAAAAAAAAAAAAGAAGAGGGAGAATTTGACACCAAATGGTCAGGGGGTCATCTGCTCACCTATTCCCCTGTGCTCCCTAACCCCACAGGGTCTGCTTACAGAACAAGGCACAGCAAGGACACAAGACACAAGCAGAAAATGTGCTTGATGTTACCCACTGCAGTCCTTCCACTCTGGGAGATCCTGAAGACTCAGAAGAGGGACAGGCAATGGATTCTGTCTAAACCCCAAGGCCAGGACACTGCCTCAGCTGCGAAGCCGGGATGCGATGCTCCAGGGTATAACCACTGCCCAGAAGCATAGCTGGTACAAGCTGCAGCCTCAATCCAGGCAAGGAGCCAGCTCCAATCAGGTCAGGCTCCAAGGGATGAAGACTGAAAACATGAATGTGTTGTGCCACTAACTCTAGTATTTGCTTTTCCCTGTGTTTTTGCATGCATTGTAGACCTTGGCATCAGCATTTGGCTGGCTTTAAGACAGAAACGAGAAGCCTTTTGTGTTTTATGTGTCAACTTGACTGGGTCACAGCATACCCAAATATTTGGTTAAACACGATTTCTAGGTGCATCTGTGAGGATGTCTCTGGATGAGACTAATATTTGAGTTTGAATCAGTGGACTCAATAAGGCAGACTGCCCTCCCCAGTGTGGGTGGTCCTCATCCTTCTCTCTGCCTGACACTCTTCTAGCTGGAACATTTGTCTTCTTCTGCCTTCGGACTCAGACTATGACTGGAATTGGTATCATTGACTCTCCTAGTTCTTCAGACTCAGATTGCTCTCCTAGGTCTAGACTTCTCAGCTTCCAAATCACATGAACCAATTTGTTACAGAAAATTTTTTTTATCTATCCTATTAATTCTGTTTCTCTGGAGAACCCTGATTAATACAGATTTATTTTCCTGCATTCCAATAACTCCTCTACTCCCTCAACCCCTGGTAACTATCCTACTTTCTGTCTCTATAAATTTGACTATTCTCAGTACCTCATATAAGTGGAATCATGTAATGTTGTCCTTTTGTGACTGGCTTATTTCATTAGCATAATGTTTTCAAGGTTTATTCATGTTGTAGCACGTATCCAAATTTAATTCCTTTTTGAGGCTGAATGATATTCCATTGTATTATACATACTTTGTATGTATAATGTTTTGTTTATTAATTCTTATTTTGTTTATTCATTCATCCATTGATAAACATGTTGTTCCCAGATCTTGGCTATTATGAAGAATGTTGCTGTGAACATGGGTGTACAAATATCTGAGTCCTTGCTTTTTTTTTTTTTTGGACACAGACTGGCTCTGTCACCCAGGCTGGAGTGAAGTGGTGCGATTTTCGGCTCACAGCAACCTCCGCCTCCCGGGTTCAAGGGATTCTCGTGCCTCAGCCTCCCCAGTAGGTGGGATTACAGGGGCGTGCCACCACGCCTGGCTAATTTTTTGTATTTTTAATAGAGATGGGATTCGTCATGTTGCCTAGGCTGGTCTCAAACTCCTGAGGTCAGGCAATTCACCCACCTTGGCCTCCTAAGGTGCTAGGATTACAGGCGTGAGCCACCATGCCTGGATCCTTGCTTTTCATTATTTTGGATATATACCTAGAAGTGGGATTGCTGGATCATAACATCATTCTAATTTTTTCAGGAACCATCATACTGTTCTCCACAGTGTCTGATGACCTACAGTTTTGAGCTCAGACTTTCTAAAATAGCAGGAAATAAATGAAAAGAAAACAAATAGAAGTGGAAGTAATTTGTCCTTCATTAAGCCAAACATACCCACCCTGATTGAAGCTTGAAAACAATATCACCTCTTTCGCTGATATGTAAGTACCTTTTTATCATTTAAATTTTAAGGTGTGATTAATTAAAAACTTAAAATGTATAGTCTTTATATGCATTGGATGTCCATAAGGTGACCCTTGGTTGCCAAATCTTTGAGAAAGGCTGAGTAGACACTGAACGAATGTATATCCAACTTACTTGTCAACTCCTCCAAGAACATTCCCCACCCCCTGACCCAAGACATGCTTTCTGTGAGCTCCAGCAGTGCTCCTAGTCTTCAACAGCTACCGCATCTGTGCTCTTCACACTCTTGTCCTTCCCCAGTCTCAACTGTGAGCCATGAATGGCAGAGGCCGGTTTTTACCCTTCAGGTCTCCAGTTAGGCCTGTGATGGTTCTAGGGTTTTGTCTAGGCTGCGAGTCTGATTGGGGGCTAGGACAAAGGGTCAAATTCAGGACGAAAATCAGCCTGGCCAAGAGCAGTGGATATATAGCCCCCATCATCCCACTTCTCAGATGCTCCTAGAACTCCAGCCCGGGATCCTTTATTCTCTGTACACTCCACCTTCTCCCCACACAAGACCCTCTGCAGAGAGCAGGCACAGAGAGCAGGCACAGAGAGCAGATAAATGATGGTCGATGCTGCCTCTCAATTCAGATGGGTCTGGCATAACAGTTAACTAGTGGGTTTCTTGTTTTATTGATAGGTTCTCCCAAAACTAAAGGAGTTAAATTTCTTTAATAGCAATACATGCTCATTGTTAAAAACTCAGATCAACTGCATTTCCCTTGAACACTATTAACATTTAGCTTATTATCCTTTCACGTTTGTATAGATATTTAGAACAATGGGATGTAGTTTATACGTTTATACATTTTGGCTTAGCAGTACATCACAGACATCTATTTCATTATATTCAAATGGCTCAATAATATTCCCCTGTGTAACTGTGCCATCATCTAGCCAAACTCCTAGTGGGGACCTGGTTTGTTTTTGATTTTTCAGTAATATAAACAATGCTGAGATAAACCTCTGGCTATCAGCTCGATGATTTCTAGTGACTGATTTTAATACATGCTTGGAATGTTAACCACAAGGGGGAAGCAGGCAACCATGGGAAGACAGGCTAAGATTTAGAAAAAAGAAAAAGAGGCTGGGTGCAGTGGCTCACGCCTATAATCCCAGCACTTTGGGAGGCTGAGGCAGGAGGACAGCTCAAGCCTAGGAGTTTGAGGTTACACAGAGCTATAATCACGCCACTGCACTCCAGCCTGGGTGACAGAGCAAAGCCCTCTCTCAAAAATAAAAACAAAAACAAAAAACCTATTTAGAAAGTTCCCATACCTCACATACATAAGCTCATCCCAACCTTGTGAGCAGGTAGTAGCATTAGTATTAGCCCCGTTTTTTGGATGTGAAGCCGTCTTCTGATTTCATTATCAGGCGCTCTTCTCTTCACAGTATTTCTGAATAAACTGACAGCAGTACAACATTCTGCCTACATTCAAGTCCAGGCGCTGTGCTGGGGACACTATGAGGCATGCAGAAATAAAGAAGACAATCCCTGCCCCTCGGGGATGGTCATTATCAGGTGTGAGGACAGACACTCCTAAATAACCAAGTGCCCACCGTAACAGAGAGGAGAGCCCAGGAAGGCAGGAAATTCACTTCGACAGTGAGGCTGGGCACAGCTTTATGGAAGAGATATGCTAACAATAAGAGGTAAGGTGTATTTAGCCTTTACTCTGTGCATGCCACTGTGCTAAGTGCTTTACCTGCATAATCTCATTAAAACTTCCCCACAGGCCAGGCACTGTGGTTCATGCCTGTAATCCCAGCACTTTAGGAGGCCAAAACAAGAGGATCGCTTAAGCGCAAGAGTTTGCAACCAGCGTGGGCAACATAGCAAGGCCCTGTCTCTTAAAAAACAAACAAACAAAAAAATACCCATAGACCTGAAAGATTTCATACCCATTTTTACAGAGAAGAAAACCGATGGTCAGAGAGGTAAAGAAACCGACTACTGTGGCACAACACTGGAACGCACGTCCTTAATGTGAATTCAGGGGGCCCTAGAAGGGTTGGTAGACTTTCAACAGGCAGGGCTGGGAGAGAGACTTCTAAGAGAGGAAACACAGAAACGAAGCCTTAGAGGCAAGAAATACAGGCACATCTGGGAATGGCAAGGGGATCAGCGTGCCTGGTGTGTGAAAAAGGAGGAATCTGAAGAGAACAAAACTAGAGAAATAAAACTGAGTCAGAGTGGTGAAGACCGCGAGTAGCAAGTGAAGGAGATCCTACTGTATTTTGTATTCAGGGGAAACCAACTGAAGAGAATGACATCATGTGTGCTTTATGAGGATTAATTTGGTGCACTGCATAAGAGAACAAGGAGACTAGTTAGGGGCTTGTTAAAATAGTCCTGACCAAAGATAACTAGCGAAGGAATGAGAACCAGAAGACATTACAGAGATAAAATCCACGAGATCTTATTAGATGCTGGGGAAAAAGAGGAAAGAATCGTGATTAAGATTTTCATGTTTGGGCAACGAGGAGAATGTGAGTGTGTACACGAGGAGAGGAACTGGACAGAAGGGACAGGCGAGTTCACTTTTCTTTTATGAGCTGGAGGGACCTCAGGGACCTTTGATTGGAGATGTTTAGTGGAGAGTTAGAAACAGGAAGCTGGTGATTTAGACATGGTACCTGAGAATCAGAAGAAACGACCCAGGGTATGGTGTCTCACGCCTGTAATCCTAGCACTTGGGAGGCTAAGATGGGAGGGTTGCTTGAGGCCAGGAGTTCAAGACCAGCCTGGTCAACATAGTAAGACCCTCTCTATATAGAATAAAATAAAATTAAAAAAAAGAAGAAGGCTGGGTGCAGTGGCTCACATCTGTAATCCCAACACTTTAGGAGGTCGAGGCAGGTGGATCACCTGAGGTCAGGAGTTCAAGACCAGCCTGACCAACGTGGTGAAACCCCGTCTCTACTAAAATACAAAAATTAGTGGGGTGTAGTTGCAGGTGTCTGTAATCCCAGCTACTCGGGAGGCTGAGGCAGGAGAATCACTTCAACCCAGGAGACAGTGAGCCAAGATTGCGCCATTGCATTCCAGCCTGGGTGACAGAACGAGACTCTGTCTCAAAAAAATAAAAAAAAATAAAAAAGAAGAAGAAATGACCAAGGGAGCCGGCCAGGGAAAAACCTATACTTAAGATTCAGCAAGGCATGTTAGATCCTGATAACCAGCAATTCCACAACCAGGTTTCTATCCCAGAGAAACAAAATCACACGTGCACAAGAAAGCGTATGAAGGGTGTTCACAGCAGCATTGTCTGTCTTGGTGAAAGGCTGGGTCGGGGAGGAGCAGGCAAATAAACCATTAAACATCCACATTGTGCAATAGTTACAAATTAAGTAGATCAAAGGTATTGACATAACAGATCTGCAGAATATACAGTGGATGAGAAAAACAACTTGTAGCCAGGCGCGGTGGCTTACGCCTGTAATCCCAGCACTTTGCGGGGCTGAGGTGGGCGGATCACCAGAGGGCAGGAGTTCGAGACCAACCTGCCAAACATGGTGAAACCCCGTCTCTACTAAAAATACAAAAATTAGCTGGGCACGGTGGCAGGAGCCTGTAATCCCAACTACATGGGAGGCTGAGGCAGGAGAATCGCTTGAACTCAGGAGGCAGAGGTTACAGTGAGCCGAGATCGTGCCATTGCACTCCATCCTGGGTGACAGAGCGAGACGCCATCTCAAAAAAAAAAAAAAGAAAGAAAGAAAAGAAAAACAACTTGTATTGTAATAATAATGTATAACAATACTTATGAAAAAAGAAGAAAAGCCAAACAATGCTGTCACATATATATTTTAAATGATGTATGTGTAGGCATAGAGAAAATTCTAGAAGGCTAAACCCATGCTAATTGTGATAAAGGGGAGGAGTTGGGACAAACATGGAGAGCAGAAGGGATTAAATGGGGTTTTAGCATAGTTGTCAGGTATGTAAGAAAAATGTAATCATCTATAACTTACGTGAATAAAAATTCTCAAACTTTTTTTAAAAAGAAAGATTCAATGGGAAGAGGAAGCAATTGAATAGACAGGAATATATTCTGAGACTCTAGGTAGGACACTGTTACTGGGAACACTGGGAGAAGTTTCTGGAATGCAAGATGAAGGATCCACTGCACTCAGCAATGCTGCGGAGACAGCAGCCAGCAGGATGAGTCCTGTGAGCTTGACTGGTTGTCAACACCTTTTGCTTACAGCCACTAGCTCCTGTGTCCTTGAAAGATCGCCATGTCCCACCACTGCCCTTGAATGAGATGGAGATTTTTCTGTTCTTTTTTGAGTTGTAAACATCATAAAGTATTTCGTCAATTTCTTGTATTTAGACATTCCCTTCCTTTCCCAGAAATTCCACAGTGATATTCTCAGTGTTCTCTTTCCAGTCCTTCAAGCTGTGTATGAAATCTACTTCTTCCCAGTCCAGATCCTGCAAATACCTGCCTCCTCTCCTGTTCTCCATTCAAAAAACTTCCAATTTGAGGTCATTTTTAAGAGCATTAACTGTGGTGGTGGTGGTGGTGGTGGTGGTGGTGGTGGAGTTTATAGAATTTCTCATGGGACCCACAGCATAGATGTGGCAAACACTGACTGAGCACACAAAGGTGCCAGGCACTGTGCTAACTTCATAGGAAGTAACTCGGTTAATCCTTTCAGCAACCCCAGTAGGTCACTACTATTATAACCTTCATTTCACAGCTGGGACTTAGTGTGGCTGAGTGACCTAAGGTAGTAAGTGGCAGTAAGCTTGTGGTGGGTGACTCTGTGTTTGTCTCACTATGTGAGTCTGTCCTAAGTGATCAATAGGGGTGGGGACTGGACTAGGAACAAGGTCTCAGGTATACAAGGGGGTTCAGTTTACCAAATGCCTTTATGACCATTAATTCATTTGATGTCACCACAGTGCTTTAATGACATGGGTCATTAGGGAAAATAATGAGATGAGTCAAGCTTTGTAATTCCCTTAAAGTGGTCAAGTCTGGGTTAAGGGCTTTTAGGGAGCATTAACTCACTATGTGGTCTTGAGCAACTCTGCAAGGGGTAGGAGCAGAGGGGGCCCCCTTTGGCCCTGCTCTCTACAGATCATCGAGTTCCTAGCAGCCACTCCTCCTGGTCTGCAAATTCTTGGCGAGGCACCCTCCTGCTCTCCAAACCCACCCATTCCAGGCAATCCCTTAAGTGGCAGAGGAGCCAGGTTCCTGGGGTTAATAAGCAGGCTGTTTATAGCCAGCAGCAGTCACGGGACAGCCAGCTGGAAGGTCATGCTCCTTCTGAATGTTGAGGTTTCTCATAAACATTTCCCCAGTAAGCCTTCTGGGAGATGAGGATGACTCTGGGTCCATTGCCCTTGCTGGGGCAGAGCGCCAAGGCCCCATACTCACTTTCTTCTCCTTTCTCCTGAATCTGGCTCTCTTCCTCTTTCCTCCTTCCTCTCCTGCTCTGCTGTCATTCCTTCCCTTTCTTCAGTGGCAAGAGGATACGTTTCACAGTAGACACACAGGATCACTCATCCTTCTGAGTCTCAGTTTCCTTCTTTGTAAAATGGGGTAACAATGGGGCCATCATCTCAGGATGTACGGGAAAGTGCCTAGCACTGTGTTAGGCACACACAGTGGACATTTAAAACATATTGGTCATCCCTTTCCCCCTCCACCCTATCCTTTTGCCCTAATCCCGGCTACTGCCCTGTTTTCGTTCTATTTTCCTGCTCCAGCCCTGCTCCCATCTCCACCCTGGACACTTCCACCCCACTGACTGCGCTGCTGCTGCCTGGGAGGGTGAACGAAGAAGCCAGCCTTTATTCAGAGGAGGGCTGACCACCTCGGGGCCCGCCTGTCCTTGGCACTTCCCCATAAGACCACACCCTAGGCCTCTCTGCTTTTAGTAAATAGCCCATGGGAACTGGGAGTGGAAGGAGGATGTAGAATGGGTGAGGCCAAGATATTTTAACCTTTGGCTTATATTTGCCCTTAATCTGGCTCTTCCAATGGCTTAATGGTCAGAGATCACTGTGTAAATTGCTGTGTGACTTCGGGCAAGTCCCCTTCACTCTCTGGGCTTCAGTGAAGTGTGGGAAGGAAACGAAGAGCAGAAGTTGGGTAGAAGTGCAGGTCCTGGAACCAGACCATCTCCACCACTTACTAGCTTGGATTACATAACTCCTCTGTGCCTCAGTTTCCTTAACCATAAAATGGAATTTATAGTATATCTAATTTATAAAAGCACTTTTATAAATAGCATACCTAATTTATAAAAGCACTTTTAAAAGTACTTAGAATAGTGCCTAGCTCATAGTTGGTACTAAATTAATCTCAGCTATGATATGCAAATGGAGAGGTAGAACAGGGGTATGCGTGCATGAGAGGAGAGCTGGACCTTCTCTGAAGGTATTCTAAAGTCCTGAAAACCCACATTCCTCCTTTTCGGATAAGAACAAGACAGAATCTTGAACACAAAGTACTTCTCCCAGGGAGACCACAGGAAACTTGTCAAAGGCTTTCAAAGCCAGATGGACCCCTTAGAGGTCATCTGGTCCAACTTATCATGCTACAGTAAGAACAGGGCAGACCAGAGAGATTCGGATTTATCTGGGACCATAGAGCTTTTGACGAGTTATAGAACTGCAGGTGATGCATTGCAGGGAAGGGAGGCACTTTAAGGGGACAGTGAGATGGGCTGCCAGAGGGCTGGTGGGATGCTGGAGGTCAGATTCCCAGGCTCCATGACCTCCAGGATTCTTAATTCAGGC